ATATGTTACTGATCCACTGATCACAACCGGCACATGATGGCAAGAGACTAATATTATAGTCTCTTGATGATAGTGACTATCGATAGTAACAAGAACGTTTCATCTTCTCTGTCTTCATGGAAAATGTAAAGTGCTATATAAAATAAACTTTAAAATAGGCATTCAGGTGATTCCCTAGTAAAAGAACCCGCCACAGATTGCCGATGAAACTTGGTATGCTGTTGTTACAAGACAAAGAAATATTTAAAAAAAAACCTAGTAAAAAGAGGGGGTCACCGTGCTTGTTTTCACGCCACAATGCTGACAAATACGGTTATTTAGGTGACTTTTGGTAATCTCTATGTGCAACAAATAAGCTCAATTATTTTTCAATGCTGCGTGTTATATCGCACAGAATTTGACTTTCTTTGGTTGTTTATTCCTCTACATCCCAGAAAAAATGTCCTCAAATACCCTGCATTTTTTTATCCTTTATAGGAAACAAAATTTGGACATGCGCTGTTGGGCCCGTTATGTCTCCCTCTGTAGTATTTATTTCATTTGCCAAAAAGAAGCCATAGATTTCTGCTAAGTTTTTCTCAGTTATTGAGTATATTGTTCTCATTGAAATTATGAAATAAAAAGTGGGGGTCACCGCGCTCATTCAAAAGAGAAAAGGAGCATTTATTTTACTATCAAGCTTAGTTTGAGGGAAATCTCTTATGTTCTGTATGCACACGCGCTCATGTGCATGCGCTAATGACCCAAATATCGTGCACAGTAGGGATGCGCAATGTAATACTAAGGAATCACCTTAAACCATAAGGAAAATAAGGGTATAAGGGGTATAAGGGTATAACAGGTATAAGGGTTATAAGTGTTATCAGGGGTATCAGCGATATAAGGGTATAAAGGGTATAAAGGTATAAGGGGTATCAGGGATATCAAGGGTATAAGGGTATAAGGGGTATCAGGGGTATAAGGGGTATAAAAGGTATAAGAGGTATCAAGGGTATCAGGGGTATAAGGAGTATAAAGGTATAAGGGGTATAAGGGTATAAGGGGTATCAGGGGTATCAGAGGTATAAGGGTATAAGGGG